CTTGCTCCTTGTTTCCAGACGCTGCACACCCAAGCTCTTTGATGTCAGGACTGCATGGGGAAAAGGTCCTTGTTGCGCATGTGGATGGCACTTGTATTCCCGGGGTTTACTCCCCGCCCGACTGTGAAGAGGAAACGGCTGGCCTCCTTCTTGACTCGTGGACGGCGAATCAGGTGCATAGATCACATGGGTGGGTCGCGCTGGGTGACTTCAACGCCCCCCCGCCGATGGGTGCTGCTTCTGACTCCCCTTGCGGCTCCTTCTTTAGATCCTGGGGCGGTTATGCTGTTACTGATGGCAAACCCACAAGGTGGGAAGGCACTGAAGCGATCGATTGGTTTATCGCTGGGGCCAACTCTGCTCTCCAGTGGGAGGGGCAGTGCCGACACACGGCTCTCAGCGACCACGTACCCGTCTGTGCCTCACTCGTCAGGCAAACGCCCAGCACGCAGGCTGGACGCCTCAAGCCTGGCCCTAAATGGGTGAGACCTGCGTCGCTGCCTCAGAAGGACTGGGAGAGTTTGCTGCAGAAGGAATGGACCGCCCTGGCCTCTGTGTCCGGGCCTCTTTCTGACCTCGCTGCGGCCTTACGAAAGAACAGCTCAGACGTGCAGGCCTGCTGGGACTTGTTCATGTCTGCCCTCTACAGTACCTTTCACAATGCGACTAGAGCGGCCTCAGTGAGCAGTGCTGACCCTGTAGTCAAACGCGAGTGTCATGATCTTTTGCATCAAACCGGCATGCGTGCAGAGTGGAAGGGCAAGCCGGCTAAACATCAGACCGTGAGTGTTGCGGATCTGTCTAGAGGCCCTCCCGGCACCCAAGAAGCTAACCGTAGGCTCAACCGCAGACTCGCCAGGCTGTATGAGCTTCGTAATCTTACCGCCAAGGCGGTGCAAAGAGACGAGCAGGAACTCACGCCTGCAATGGTAGCTTTGTGTGCTAAGCTGTGGAGAAACCGCCCTCTCCCTGACAGGGTCACTCAGCTTGCCGGGCTGTGTCGGCAAGAGATTAGCGACACGAAGAGCTCTCGCGAGTCGTTAGAGAAGTCACAGAAGCAGAAAAACTGCACTGAGTGGCGGAACCAGCTCAAGGACCCTTCGCTTCAGGGCCTGTCGCGCTGGCTGCGCGGTAAGGACCAGGACCCTGCTGGAGTTGTGGTTTTTGACGACCAAGGGGACGCCTTGGACAGTCAGGAGGTCACAGACAAGATCAATCGACACTGGCGTCAGGTTTGGATGGAGCAGCGACAGGCGGAGAGCCCTACTCCTGAAGCCATCGCCACCACCCTCGTGCAGGACTTTGGCAAGCCAGTGGTCACTTCCTGGTCTGAGTGGTCCGAGCAAGATCTCAGAACGGCTCTGGCCAAGGCGTCCCGTTCCGCAGGGACAGACTCTTGGAGCGCAGCAGAAATCCGTTGCTTACCTCCTGAGGCGGTGCACACTTGGTTTCTTCTGACCCAGCAATGGCTGCGATGTGGCACTTTGCCGCTCCAGCTTCGCCAGGTGCGGATGGTTAACTTAGTGAAAGCTCACAAAGTTCGTGCCAATCGCCGGCTTTCCGTCGCGGATTGCCGGCCCATAAGCGTAATGTCTGTCTTCTGGCGGGTGTTCGCCAGCGCTTGGAGCCGAAAAGCCAGGGCGTGGATGGACAGCAACTTGCCGGCCGAGGTCGGTTCGCGCGCTGGGGCTGCGGGAGCTGAAGGCTTGGCGTCCGAGCTCCAGGATGCTCTTGTGTGTGATGGAGGTTTCCTTGCCTCGCTGTGCTACGACCGTATGCAGGGCGACGCCGCCACCGCCGCGCTGGAGCAGCTCGGTTGGCCCGGCGAGCTGTGTCGGCTCATGCGGGAAGCTTGGGTCCATGACAGATTCGTGAGCTGGGATCAACACACCAGCTCCGACGTGCTCAAAGCGTCGGCCGTTCCGCAGGGGTGCCCCCTGGCGCCGGTCACTCTCCTGATTTGGATGACCAGTGGTTTTCGTTGGACGGAGGCCCAGCTTACCCACACTGGGGCGTCCCTCACCCGCATTTACATGGACGATCGCAGCTGGTGGGCGAGCCGATGGAGTGGTGTGGAGGAGCGCATCAACAGCTGGACCTCCTGGAGTCGCCGAGTTGGGCTCAAGGAGTCCACCTCCAAGACCCAGATCACGGCGAAGGGCAGAATCAGTCGCACGTTGCTGGCGCTCAATGCTGACCCGGCCTGGATACGCGAGGATGCTAAGATTTTGGGCTGTACCACGGTCACGTCGGGCAGGCGGCGGGACAGCGAGACGGAAACGGATCGCCTGGCGCGGGCGGCTCGCAGAGCCTCGCTCCTGAGATGCACTGGGCTCCCTTGCTATCAGATGCAGAAGGCTTTCCAGTATTTTTGTGAGCTCCATTGCTGGTTTCGGCCGGATAGGCAAGCTTCCGACAAGGCGGGTGACGGATGGCCTCTTCCAGGCCTTTTCGAGGGCTACGGATCATCAGCATCGGGCCTCCAGTCCGCTCCTCCGCAGAGTCTTGTTCGGTGGGGCCTTGCACTTGGACGTCAAGGTTGCTTCGGGGCTCTTCGCACGGCTGTGCCGTCGGCGCCACCGAGGCATTGTGACGCGCTGGCACTACAGGGCAGCGTCCTCGGTCGGCCTCCTTCGTCGGTGGCTCAAGGGGCAGGGCTGGCGAGAGTCTAGGCCATGGGTCTGGAGACACGGCAACGCACACAGTCGTGCAGAGGAGAGAGTACTGTCGCTGGAGGCCCCTTGCTCGGAGCAAATCCTGTCTCAACAGCTGCATGCTCTGCGCTACCAGTGGCGCGCACAGCACTTTCTGGATTGGGCCTTAGGGGCCAGGCACGAAGCAAGGGACCTGGTGTCTCGAAGGGGCCTCCGCCGCCTCCTTAGAGACTTCCAGGCCATAGATCTGGAGAAGACGCGGCAGGCTCTCCAGCTCGGTGGGGCCTTTCGGGCAGTGCTGCTCGGAGCTGTAGTCTCCGACGCCTGGCTCTCTGTCTCGCAGCAGTTGCCCGACCGATGTTCTCTATGTGGCTACAGTCCGGGCTCTTGGGAGCATGTGGCCTGGCATTGCAGGTGCCCTGGCTTGGGCCCTAGACCTGAGTGTCCGGAGAACCTCCTCGTGGCGAGGTTCGGATGGATCCGTACTGTAAAGGGCCTCGCGCTGCATCGGATCGTCGTGTGCTTGCGCACTTAGCTAACTGTCTCTCGGCCCTGTGGGCGGCCAGACATGAGAGTTGAGTTGGTCCTCAGCTGAGTGCAGAAGAGTGGGCGGGCAGCGTCTGCCTGTTGCGCTGACTCTAAGGTCCTATAGACCTTGCATGCTTGCATGCACGATGCACCAAGGTCCGATGGCATGGCACTTCGTGGCGGCGCATCTAAGGATCTGGCTTCGTTGTTCCTTCCCCTTCCTCTTTCCCCCTTCCGTGCAGAAGACGTTCGTGGAGTCCCTGCACTACAACAACACTACTCAGGCGGCGATATGCCCGCTAATTTGCTTAAGGACGGGGGGCAAAGTGGCGATATGCGCATCAGATCGACTACCTCCTCGTTGGTTGATGCGGGCCCAGCCTTTCCAGGCTGGGGGCGAAAGTCGATAGAGAACGTTTGTGTGAAAAAAAAAGAGGCGGTGAAGCCCTG